GAAATATGCACAAATTGAATATCAGTCTGACATTTTCCCAGCCGCCGTAAATTCTGTTGTTGTTTCTGAGATAAACTAAATTTTGTTAGTCGAAACGCCGAATCACGTTGGACCTATGTTCATGCATTTTTCTTCGATCATGAGTAGCATGCACAAGGCACATGCAAGTTTTCTACAGGCTCAAATCACGTGTGACCGGTTAAATATTCAAGTCAGCCACTCCGTGATTTTTGTACCTCCTATGTGGATTAGATAAACATACTGAATGCATTTGAATTTTCAAAGCGAAAAAGTTGGGAAAGAGAACGGGCACTCATTCTATGGAAGCAGACTGCATTCATCTTGTGATTTTGACCAATCAGAATAGTGATGGATTCAATCAATAAATTGGTCAGCTGAGGTGATGCGTACGAATGTGCAAGCACGAAAGCCTGCTGTTTGATTGACTGTATATCGTTGACACGTAGGAATGAAATTGCACTTGGAACTAAAAATTGTTCATTTGATTTACACGCCGTGAAACGTGCACATTTATCATCTGCATACAGAAAGGTGTGAGTCAGTAACATGTTTCTGCATAAAATCCTAAGTTTCTGTTAACAACACTATCGGATGTTTCCGAGCGAAAGATCAAGAATCAGAATCTTCTTGGGCTTCCAAAAGACGCAGATTGTTGAAAGAGACGATATAAAAGATCCGTGTTGCCAAGATTTTCAGCACAGACCTATCTGGCTTTATGCTTGAAAATTCCGCACTTTCTGAAAAAAATTATATTTTCATTGGATATTACTTAGATTTTAGGCCAAGGACTAAACCAGAAGGGATTCATTTTCTTCCTATCTTGTCTTTCATCTTCTGGTTTTCCAACTTACGTATATGAAATTATATTTTGCCAGGTGCTTTGGCCTTGCTGCCTTCAAACAACTTTGGCATACGAATAAAGCATTTGGGGCGCTTTACTCCGTCTGCAGTGCGATTGTATTGGAAGACATTTATGGAACGGATAATAACCAGATTCCTTAAGAGGATCAGGATAATTTAAGGATACTGATTGGATGGGAGAACTTGACAGCCTTCATCGCCCGGGCTAACCATCGTCATCATCATTATCATTATCATCATCATCATCATCATCATCATCATTATCACCATCATCATCATAGACAGATTTTAACTGTTCAGCACTGATTTTTTGCGACCGCACAGCAGGGGCCACGCAGACTCGTAGTGGTTAAACCACAGATTAGACCAACAGTGGTAAAAAACACTGATATATAGGTGGTACCTCAATATGAACAGTAACAATCAATCTCTGTTGAAATTCACTGATTTAGTGGATCAGCTTCCTTGAGATTACAGCCAGCAAGTACCTCATGAGCAGGTATATCTAAAAGTGAACTAGGTCTGATATTTCACAGACTCACTTGGGTTATTGTCTTGTTCATTCTGACTACATTCAAGGAGGATGGAGCTAGCCTTTAAACCTGCTTGTACAAGAACAGGGATGAACCGCGTCGTCTTGGTGGGACAATGGTACTGTAAAATCACAGTGTTCATTGATAGATCAGGTGTACTTGATCAAAACTGGTCTTCCAGAGATGTTTTATCTCTGCAAAAAACCTCTTCTGCGAATGAGAAGGGAAAACACCATATTTTCATTTAGTTCCGTTCGTATTGTTAAAGGCCGGTCATTTCTGGTGGAAAAGTTCAAACCCTTATTCTGATGCTCTCTTAATGTATTAGTCAAATTTTAAACTTTGACCACTCAAGACCATTGCTTCAGCATCCTTCCGGACCGATATGTCAATGATGTTTATTCAATTCCCGTGCTATTTTGAGCATTATTTCAAGTTGGCACCCTTCCTGTGACTGTTTTCAAATGCTAGTTCAATCCGAATGAAATGAGTTTTAAACAACCGTTTTTGAAATTTCTCAACATTTGTTCTTTTTCTTTCTAACTGAACGTGAAACGTTTTTATAAGAAAGACTGGCTTTCCCGTGCGCGCATGGCGTTAAGGGAGTAATAGGGTGTAACACTATAAATAGTATTAAGATATCCCGATAGCAGATTCATCGTATACTTTACTTTTGTAATAATTAAGCAACCTAATTATGCTGCATTTAGGAATGAACTAGTCGAGCCACTCGTTTTATTCACGAAAAACACACGACATTGTTATCGTCAGGCGATTTCATAACCTGTCAATTGCAGGCGATTGTTTGTTTTCAAGACTGTTAACCTGTCAGTACAATCTCCTCAGATTCTGAGGAAAACAGACAAAAAGTAGGCCATCATTCGAGCATAGCAGTACGTGTATCATCTAAATTGAAATTCATATGGAGACGGGCTGCAAATTCGCACGAGGTATCCGAATTTTATTTGAATGCTTCCTGTGGTTTACCATTTCACTGGAGGGTCACTGTGGCCTTGTCACGCAGGGAAACTTGCACTTTTAAATCCTGGGCCAGTCGAGAATGTGTCAGACATCCGCATCGATCGATAGCCCTAGTTCAAGCTACCGCCTAAATGCACTTTTCCTTGTAAGGTATATAAACCAGAATTCAGTCTTGGACAGCAACAAGTCATGGATATCCGAGGTTGGACTCTACGACGCGTCCTAAAGTACATAAAGCGGTAGTCTGCTTTCACTTCTGAATGCAGCTCACGGAACCAGATTTACCACACTTGACTTTGTTGAAATAAATCCGGAGTTGAAGCTTCAAGTAAAACAGCATTCAAAATGATGGGCGGGATCAGGCAATTTTAATGACTGTGATTCCATTTACAATACCTTTGCCTGTTTTCGCAATACCAGAAGCTGCGTAACAGCTCCCCACATATTTTGGTACTTATCACTGAGCCTAATTAGACCCTATGCGTAGTTTTGTGGGATCCTTTGTTGGGCAATTAGCGCGGTCGTGTGTGGGTTCGATCCTCCATGAGGATGTGGCAGAATCTCAGTATGCATACCAGTGGCTCAAAGGTCTCCAAGCAAAACATGCAATCTCGTTGGCTTGTTCACTTAGCTGGGCAATTTGATTGCAAACGTTTCATCATCAATCGAGGTGACATCATCAGTGCGTTATTGTGGAGCGTAGTAGTGCGTAGCGGTGGGTTGCTGGTTGTGCGTTGGGTAGTGTTGTGCGTGTGTTAATATACGTGCTGCTAGCGTTTAGTTGTTCGGTCGGGCGATTCCATTGGTTGCTCCGTTGTCCTGTGTCCCCATTCGCCGATGCCCACGTGACTTTTGAGCTTGGCATCCCTGCCGTCGTAAATTGATCGACGCTAGAGTGACCTTTGTCCTTTCCAGTCCTGCGTTGTGACCTTTATTGATTTGCCTCCAAGGAGTTCCTTGTTTCGTTGTTTGTGAGTCCAAATATTCGGTCTCCTTGAGTTTTCCGGTTGAGTTTTCCTCTATAGAACACGCAATCTCTTCTGGAACTAATTTGGAAGCAGGTTGAAGTAATTCGTAGCATACTTTCTCATAAAGAAAGTCTAACACAATTTCTTTACTTTGCCCAAGTAAAACTTTTATACCTGTTGATTCGCTGATCTGTTTTATCTGCTGCTAACCCGCTTCAGTGCCTAGCACCGGAGACAAAGTCTCACAGAAGGGAACATTGCTATATTCCGAACAAGCGAGTACGAGAGTGTCAGTGCGTTAACCCGCTTGCCTAGCACCGGAGACAAAGTCTCACAGAAGGGAACATTGCTATATTCCGAACAAGCGAGTACGAGAGTGTCAGTGCGTGCTAGTGCGAAAGTTACAACGGCCCCACGCTATTTAAAGGGGACTTTCTGACGTTGATCCGGGCTGTCTAATAGGCGTTAGTGAACACCGTCAACATCGATTGTGCCTCTATGACATGTCTGAACGCTGATCACATTCGGTCGTGCTTTTCTGGCTTGCTTGGAAACTCATCAGCTTTTGCTGAATTGATTGAATGGTTGACTGTCCTGCATGCTTGCCGGCTCTCCTGTTGAGATTTTGGCGAAGCAGTAGATTATGGGCGTTCTGAGATTACTTTGAGGAATCTGACCTTCCTGATAAAAACAAATATCGTATTGGCAAAAAATGCTCTGATTCACTGCTAGTGGAGAAAACATTTTAGGCATCTGTATGCTGGTGTGGAGAAGTGTCAAGTTTGTCTCTTTACTGGCTAGATTTCAGACAATTCTGGCGTTAAAAGGTTCAGCATTTGCTACGAGGCTAGTACACCCTTGTCAACCTTAGAGGGTGCCTCACTCCAGCTGACTAAGTTTCTGTGACGATCCCACGTTTGACTAAAACAGTCAATTGTAGTTTATTAAATAAATAGTATAAAAGGAAAGATTAAGTTAAATATACTTTTTCAGCTGGCTTCCCCGAAAATGGATCATATATTTGTAACAAGAATTCTCACTTGAGCAGCCTTTCGTTCACGCAAACTGTCAGAGGGATCCCCGGCTACCAGAAAATCCACAGGACTGATGGATGTTACCTCAGCGTAGTGAAGTTTATCCCCATTTTCTTATCTTCTGCTAACTGTTGGGTCATATGACGGGTCTACTTACGCTCTTTTGATATGACTCAACAAGGATGAGAGTTCCTCTATTCGCAAAATTCCAGATACAAGTAGAGGGGTCCTGGAACATTAGAATTTCTAGGTTTGTTCAAAAAGGACAAATCGCATTAAACCGATCAAAAGTTTAGAAGGATACGACGAAAGACTGTTACTTCACGAGTTTTGGCGGAAAAAACTGGACTACGTGATATGATGTCAAGCTCATTTGTGTTGTTACGTAAAAAACGACTGTGGTGTACTCCAACCGGGCATGGCGTTGCATGATTATGGTAACCCCGGGTGCGAGGTATCTTCCACGGATCTGTGACTTCCGCACACCCAGATTTGGGGCGAGTGATCGTAAGTTTCCACCTATACGATATATGGGAATTTATCATCTTCTTTGACGTCACCAAGCCGGTCACTGTTTCTTTTGGATATTTAATGTAACAGGATCGGTGAAGTTTATGAGTTTTGATTTGTTTTTCCGGTAATAGTTGAATGCTTATGTTTTCAACTTCTTCCAGGATTTAATAACCTTTTGGGTATGAACTATTACATTGGATGTACAAGACAAATATTCAGTTTAAGGCATTGTGCGTACTTTTCGGTGCACAATTGCATAGTGTCTTGTGCAGTCACGCATATATATTATCCACGTCAGGTAAAGGCGACCGCGCGAGCACCGAAACTCGTCCATCCAACTGTCTAGTCACACTGTGGCTTGGTTCAGCACCTTTGAACTTGTGGTCTGACCTTAACTGTGCGGCATTTCTGGACGTTTCGTGACTCGGTTTTGCTGCTAAGCCGATACCCATGTGAGCAGTGGAGGATCTGATATTCGGACCCTTTGGAACAATTCGCATGCCGCTGATGCCATGATAATTTTGGAGATTTACTTGATGTCAGAATGGGGAATAGCCCCAAACCAACCGTTTCGTTGAACGCCTCAGCAAGATCAACCACGGGAGTAGCACGGACCGCCACCATTGCTGTTGCACGAATACGTCCGCCATCTTGCATACCCATGTTTCATATCACAACCACCATTGGATATTCGTCACGTGACACGGTCCAGCCAATCATTTACTCAAGTTTGGCTTGTGTACGAATCGACTTCTTTTAAAAATAGTCACAGTATGAACATCGAGTAACTTTTTGTCAAACGTACGTTCACTCAAGTTTAACCTGACTGAGTATATCATAACTAAGTCCGGAACGATTACTTGCCTACGGTTTCGGGGTTCAGTTCTCATCCCCAGTTAGCCCTCAACATGGTAACAAATCCGGACAAAGAAAGATACGGAAGAATGGCCCAAGAACTTTCACCATCTTTCAACAATTTTATGTACACATCATAATTTGTGCCTGGAAATAAAAGTACTCATCCATATAGTTCATAAAAAATAAACAATATTCTGTAAGAATTACCGACGGTAAGAAGTAGGAGCGTGTACATCATCTGGGGTTTGGGGGATTGGTTTGTACTTTTCTTGCTATTCTTTTGCCACCGTTCTTGCAAAGTTGCTGTCAATCTGCCCGACCAAGGGGAACCTGTGGAAAAAAGTAAGTCATTGTGAAGCCAGGAGGTTTGCTCGAGTGCCTTACTGTGAACAAACGAATCATAGCACACACACATATTAGATGAAATGGGTCAGGAGGCTTTTGTGGGACATGACTTCAAGCTGTCCAACTGGATTAGGTAGGGGAAACGTGGTTCTGAAAAGAATATTACCTCTAAAAATCCAGTCGGGAAGTCACTCTGAATGCGTTGTCATCCTCCCTGTTTATTTTTTCAATGGTTTCATGTACGGGACTACCGTGTGAGACATATGGCATTGAATAACCCCATTTCAAACTGTTGAACACTCTTGCGAGTTTTGGACTTATGGATATGACCACATACTTCGTAGCTCCTGCAATAAGATGTATGTAGTGTAAACGTAATAAAAATCAACAAATCGCATCTTATACGCTAGAGAAAGTTTTTCAGTTTACTAGTTGTGCTAAATTGAGTGCCTTTGAGCAGAGAGAATGCGTTCAAACCTGATTTAGAAAACTACTCAAAGTTAAAAAAAATGAGAAACGAAAAAACGTTGAATTTATCCGGAAATCCTAGTTGGAGGAGAATATGGTTTGTTAATCCACCTCTAGTGATCATTCACTGTTTCGGCCGGTGCGAATGACTGATTTCAAGTTGATGGGATCGCCCTATCTTTCGTTCCGTAGTATGGGATTTTGGGGGCGAGATGGCTCAGTGGCAAGAGCGCGAGTTTACTGGCCGGAAGGTCCGTAGTTCGAACCCGACCTCTGCATCTCGACTTCCCCTGTCTAGGCTTGGGTAATCTGACAGTATCCTAGCCCTCATGCTTCTTTCTGGCATCATGTCAGTTAGACACCGAGAGGTTTCTACAGCCAAACGATTTTTTATATCTGATTTATGCTTGGCTGTTAGCTCGACGACGACAAGGGAGCGAACTCCCCACTTGTTCCGTCCGTATTTAAACAACAATAATACCACGCATCTAACCTTCAGATGTTATTCTAAAAAGTGAAAAGGAATAGGAGCAATTTATGCATTAAGGCGTCATATCATGAGCTGTGCATCTTGTTCAAACGGTAAACGCACTGCACAGGAACCTTTCGGTATGAATGGATTGAGAACCAGCCCCATGAGTTTCAACAGCGGAAGAGCATTCTCTGCAAACACAGTAAGGTTACAAAACAGAGATATTAGTAGATAGTAGTTTAAGGAAGTGGCTGCGTACACAAACTGTACGCTGTTTGAGGTTTTCACTCATTTAAGAACCAAGTTCGTTTGAACTGGGGACTCAGCTGAATCTCATCTGTCACAGGGTTTTCAGCAACCTTTTAAGTAGTTTTCCTCCATGAAAATATACTACGATATCCCAAATCTTATACCAGTTGAAACTTGAGGCGGCTTTTGTGCATCACATTCAGCTGTGTAAATGAAGGATCCATATGGGATCCCGTTGAAATTGTCCGTTAAATCCAAACCGGTTTGCAAATCAGCACATTTCACAAACACCACGTACTATCTGGGTTCAAGTGGGACATAAATTCGGTGAAAACTTGGATACTGTGTCAACCCGTTGGGCTGTTAAAGGTTTTCAGTAAACTTATGAATAGCTTTCATTGAAAAAACTTTGGTGTACTCCTTGAAATCTACGGTGGTAGGTTGAATGATGTGACATGAGTCTATTCAGACCAGTCAGGTTTGCAAAGCTATGCTTTTTTTCGGTTGAGCTTAATTGAATAAAATGACCTGTCTGATCATGAGTAATTTGTGGAGAACGGAGAAATATCGTCATAATTGAAAGGTAATATGAATACTACAACAGCCGCGATTGTTAGATTTCCAAACCAAGTTTCTCCACATCGCCTGTTTACATCATGCGGGCCGCCATCACTCTGCCTTTTAGCGTAGCTTGGGTTCATTGCACTCGCAGTTCCTACTCCCTCCAGCCGATAAGTAATAAAACAAAAGAACGTTGATCAAAGACATGTGACTCACTGAAATCACTGCCAAGCGGCAGATAACCATCTTTATTTTTCGTGGCGACATCATTTTGTGTGTATTGGTCGTGAACACGCCTGTCCGAATCGTCAAACAATATTTTCCAGTGTAAGGCTAGCAGACGACCCACCCGTTCGGGCCAATCTCCCGTATCCCTTTGTTTATAGGGAAATGGTCTGTGCACTGACATTGAAAGGGGGAAATGAGAGCTAATGACAACTCTTGCACTTAACAGTCAGATCCAAATACAGTAAGAATATATTCACCTGAAAAACGAGGTAAAATTTCTCCGTCTTATGCATTGAATGCAACACGAGGGGGCTGAACCATTAACAAAATGAGGCCGTAAGTTGGGGTTTCGCTCAAACAGGAGCAACAACTCTTCAAGGTTTGGAATTTCGCCTTCCTCCAAGAACACTCCGTCATGGAGATAGTTTCCTCAGCTGAATGTATTCTGTATTCTGTCTTTCCATTTCGGTGCCTGGTGGTTCAACTGCCTCACTTGATTTTGTGCAAAATGGTTTCCGAATAGAGATACCAAAATAATGGGCCATTTACTGTGCTTTTGATGGGGGATAAGTGTTTCTAAGAGGGAAGCACACAAAAGTAACTTTTCAAACCATACTACTGAACTTCCCCACAAAATCGCGCTTTAGTTTGAGGACAACAAAACTGGATTTGGGTACTTACGGAATACCGAATTGTTTTGAGCTCTACTGGATATCTCACAGGATCTCTTCGAACGGAAATGGGTTCAACAGTCGGTCGACGAGGATGCGTGATTTCTGGAACCTTCGGCTACATGATCTAAACCCGGTTAACCTGTTAGCAGCATTGGCCGTGCAACTGCAGCAATAAAAAATCTGGTGAGTCTGTTTGACTTTATGACAAATATTCGAGTTTGACTTGGAGCATGCTATTGGTCTTTCAAAATCTGACCACAACATGACAGTTTTTATCTCAAGAGGTCTGAATGAATGACAGATATGAGAAACCCGCAACCTGCTTTTTGTCCTACGTGTGATTTTTTCTCTCTCAAACAGAAGAAGGTGAAATTGTTGGGTGGATCTGAGCGTTGTGTTTGCAAACAATTAAAAATACGTTTTTGATTCTCAAATTGAATCTTTTCATCAGGATGAAAATTCCAGTAAATGAATGTCAGTCAAATCGAAGGAATTGAAGCACAGTGGTAGTCGAGTCGGCGACATTTTTATGACAGTATGGAGGCTGAGGAATACAATATTGGCGCGATGTGCATAGTTTATTTAGTTTAGTTTAAAACATGGACTTTAAAGGTACGATGACGAGTTCCGAATTGATTGGTCGTTCCGATTAACGGGTAGGTTGTCCAGCAATAGATTGGCCAAAGTCAATGTGCCGGTCACCGATAACAGGCAATGCTAAATACGCTACGGGCCTATTACTATGTACTCAATGGCCTAATTTAGCAACAGACTGATGATTTTGCCACGCTCCATTAGTTTTAGCCAAACTGTCCATTTTAGAAGCTAACTGTTAAGCAATCCTTTCCCTCTGTCCATACAATAGGTTATTTACTTAACCGTAACTAATTTTGTAGTGAAAAACACCGTTTGGAGGAATTCGTTTATTATCTCAAATCACTGTGAAAGTGTACCGTACTCAGAGCAGTGCATGAGACTGCACCTGTTACTTTGAAACAAAAGTCAACTTGGCCAGACCGGTTTGTTTGCCTTTGTCTATCCCTTGAACAGCTGAGAAAAAAGTAATTTGGAGAATGGTACACTCTGTTCAACCGGTCTTCTCTAAGTTGCGAAGTCCCTGGCATCAGTTTTCTCTGGGCACCCTTCGGAACTTATTGACCTCAGACATGTCACATGTTTCTTACCCATAACACTCACGCGAATTCCAAATGAACAACATATTACGGAAGAAATTAGTTTTCAAACAATACAGCTGAATCAACGATTTGCACAAAACACCGCACCGGGAAAAGTGGTAGACGAATGAAACTCCGGTCAATGAACACGGGTGGCAGCTTCGCCAAGAAGCTCCACTGAGTTTAATAAACTAGACTAAAGACCGCTGATTACACCTCGTTCCGTAGCAAAGAGCCACCGGGGCATTTTAGTTATCGCCACATCATGCGATAGAATGTTGGTGTACTTGCCCAGGGTCAAGGTGCAGAAATTCTTAGGTAATCCGGGCCGAAGGTCTCCTTGATGATAGCGAACAGTTGGGTGATGGGTAACCCTTCTTAGGGGTCTGTTCACTTACTCAGCGTTTTACACTTTCACACGATCGATATTGCATGCAGATTGCAAGTAAAGTCAATGTATGTTCATAGGTTGAAGGTCACTGTATAGCGGACCCTGGAAGTGTACTCAAAAAAGGTCACTGTACGATAAGCCTGTGTATTAGTAAGTGATACCAAAGTGTGTTTTCAGCTGAGGTTCCTTTGAGGGCAACATTTTTCCAGGCACCATTTGAAGTTTTTTTTGTTTTTTTTTTGCCTAATCTGCTATCGCGATTTTCAGTGGTGCGGATGAACAAAGTGGTATTGCAAACAATAGCCTTAATATGTTGGCTTTCGATGGGTTTCGATGGGTGTGTGATCTATTTATACTCTTGAGTGAAAGTTTTAAAAATCGATGGTTGCCTGTATGCAGTATTGGCACGATATAAGCTTAGTCCTTGCTCAATAGGAATGATACTGGAGAAGAGTTTCTCTCTTGCTCAAGATCATCGACAAGACACAGGCTCAGGAATCGCGTCATGGATGTCTGAAATGCAAGTGTAACGGTGTATTACACCGATGAAGCATCCGAATAGTCTATGTTCTGGTGTCCCAACTCCCTCCCCGCATCTGATGGAAGGTGAATTTTATTACAGAAATTGTGGAATCGATTTGTGGTGTTTTATAATAATCTGTAACAGTCAATAAATATCCAGTAACGTTCAAGCGAATGTTTAGTTTTTTTTAAAAAAAAATAATGTGCACATGAGACATTTACTTTCGTGTCTAATGAATTCTAACCGTCTGCCAATGAAGAACTTTTCAACGAGGAGCTTTCCTCCATTCAGCAATGTCGATGTTAGAGTAATTCAGAAGAGAATTTTTCCAATTCCGAAACTACTCATACGCAAACAGAAAAGCTGGTCACTCGGACTTTATATAAAGTGAGGTTCGAAGGAAGGAGTTGGCGTCTATATTGTGCTCGCTCACATATTAGCTGTAACGTCTGTTCCTCTACTATTAAAGGGTTGAGCAGCATTCAGGATAAAGGCATCATTTGGCCGATTTTTTCAAGACAACAATTTCCTCTGTTTTGCGTAAAGGTGACCGTTTGAAGTAGATTGGTGGATAAAGGAAAGCGACTTACCATCGACATAAACAATCGCTCTGTCCAAAATTCGCACATCTCCCCGATTGACTGGTTCATAAGCTCGACACTCGTAAAATCCAGCGTCCAGAGATGAGACAGTTGCCGACTCAAACACTACTTCACTCTTGTACGACTTCAAAGGATCCGCGAGAAGTTGTTTGTATACTCGTATTCCAAGCGAGGGGCGGTTGGTCAGCTGGACAAACGTCTGCGCAAACCAATGAATCATGAATGCGGTTTGATTGTTGGACATTGTGTCTAAGCTCATGGTTGATTCATGCAAACCACTGAGGCCAGGAAGCCCATGAGTGTGAGACTGAATTAGATTGTCGTAGCTATGCTCAGGACGGAACCAGTCGATGGCGACAAAGACCGCATTGGTTTTCCTCAGGTGGACAACACACGTCAAGTTAAACGGATATCCCAGCTGAGCAACTGAGGGCATCGAGATTTGTACTGGATTCGGGGTGAAGAATACGTCATAAAATATGCAGATAAAGTATTGCATTCAGAACATTTAGAAAGACATTTCACTTTTCAAGACTTAACTAGTGGGAGCAATTCTCAATTTATTTAGGCGGATACTTATAAAGAGCAAATTCCAACGACAGAGGAAAATATTATGATCAGTTGTAGGTTGACCAAAAAGGATACAACAAGACTAAATATAGATGCCAGATGTGTGCGCATAAAAATCCTGTAGTGTTTCTAAGTATGGCTTCTGTCATTGTCTAGTGATCCGGGATTGTGAATTCTCACCTTCGTAGTGTTCCAAGACAAGAATTGCCTTTGAAGGTTTCCCTGCTGCTCCCGGCGATTGTTTTCACCAATTTTTTCTCTTCTAAACTCGCCTGAACGGTGCTAATAGGATTCGTAGGTAGTAAAATGTCCTTCAAAGTGCAGAAGTGCTGTTTCCAGATTCCTGAGAGCTATTCATCTGAAGCCAAAGTCGCTCTGTAGAGCACTGAGATGCATTTCCCTAGTACAATCGTGTAGTTGAATGTTTTTCAGCAGAAAACAATGTGCGTAATATCGGTTTCATAGATTCACTATTCCAGGCCATTGTAACGCTTCTCCCGTACACGCGCATCCGTGACGTTACATCTGGAAAGCTGTGCACCCAAAATTGTTGCTACCAGAACTTGGCAAACAGTGTCAACCACTCGGTAACTCAATTCCACCGTAGCTGCATTTTCCTTAATGGTACGTCATCTTGCGAATAATTATGCAGAATGAGCTTAGGCGTAAGTCACGCGTCCATTTTAAATTCACGTTGTTTTTATGCTTTCGGTCGCACGAAAGTTCTTCAAACAAATTACGTTGAACGCATTTTGAATGCGAGTAACTTTTTACTCAGTTGTCAAAATATTGATTTGTTTTTCTGCCTGAAGAGAATGTTTTGCTAATATACAAACTGAATTGAGGAAAATTCGAACAGGAATTCAGTAAATTAGTTTCTCATGTCCGTGTGGATACAAAAAAATGATTGAATTGTTCCTACAGTTCAAATATTTTGAATGTGGCACGTTCACATTATAGCCGGAGTTCTTTTATAAATATTGAGTTGATGCGGAGAAATAAACTGAATTTTTAATTAGTGGTATTCTTGTACCTTAAGGGTTGAGCAGTTGCCTGAAACTGACCTATTTTTGCAGTCTGAGGAGATTTGGGAACTTGGAAGAAAGATTTTGTCCTGTAAGTAGAGCCAGTCTTTCATGGAAAGCCGAGAAGCAGTGTACGGCTACCAATCCTTGTTGGGAACCATCAGCTTTGTGGATCTGACGAACTCCAAATCTACTCGAACCCGCAACCTCCCTAATTGTGTAACAGTGGACACTACTGATGAAGCAGTGAGTAGTATGTGGTTATCTCTGCTTCGCTTTTATTGAAAAGTGAGATTTATTACGGAATTTGTGGGATCGCTTTGTAGCATTCGTTTACGTTTGAGTGATAGTCATTAAGCATCCCGAAAAGTTAAGGAAGACGCGTTCTAAAAGAAGACGGTTACACAGTTTTTATGAACAAGATGCATGTGAGAGTTTTGCTTCACTGTCCAATCGTTTGTAACTGCTCATTTGGTGTTTTCCAATAAATAACAGCGAAGGCCTTCATTCTTCCACTTGTAGTCTAAGCGGTTAGCGGTTTGGTTACAAGCGGCCGATCAGCAGCTTGATGAGCTTCCAGCCAGACAATATTCAGCGGTACTCATCTGTCATTTATGGGATCCACATCACTCAGTCCCACGTGTTGATTGGCCCCTAAAGCAAAGTCACACATAGAATATTCGATCACCGGGTAAATACTGTTCTCCTTTGAGCTACTGATTGACTGTTGGTAGTGTGAGGAGATTTGGGAATTTTTCAATGCAAAAATTTTGTCATGTAAGGGAAGCTAATCTATGATGAAAAGTCGGTTATCTCTTGCCTACTCTGTATTGCGCTATGGTTGGTGTACGATCTAATTTGATGGGTCAAAGTTTGGAAACAAAAGAAATAATCTGTGCATTAGTTGTAATTCTTTCAGTTTAGTGGCCAAGCCTAACCTTAGATATGTTCCTGTCAAACCCAGAGCCTCAGTAGTCAACCTTACAGGTAGCAGTATGTTTACGAAAACACGAGATTCATCAACAAGTGACGTATAAGTTCAGGTAGGACGCTCTCCGGAAAACGTACGATGTCTTGTCTGTTGTTTGCACCCCAGGTGTCAGCAAGCGTTTACCTGCGAAGCATGTCGAGATGTTTTTAGTTGTTGTTCCATTACATCTGCCTATCAAGTGAAAGGAAACCTCCGAGGGCAACTTTCCTCTTTTTGTCCCAATCAATTTTGAAAGGGTTTCTCAATACTTTGAGTCCAAGTTGTTATGTGTGGTGAGAACAAGCTAGGAAGTGTGTTGACAGCAGTCAGCTTTTAAAGGAGAGCTAGAAAACGGCACACGAAAGGCTCAAACACAAGATGACGGAATGAAATGATTAAACCAAGAACAAGTGTTGGCGGATTTACGGACTATTCCGAAAGGATTGTTGGTCGCAATCACCAATAAGTTAAAACTTTTCAGTGACAGTTTACTTTCCGTTCCAGGAGCTAAACGTAGTCCCTATCATCCAATCAGTTTCCTTTGAGTAGTCGCCTTCGGCGGATTGACAGGTGCTCATGTTCTCTGAGATGGCGCTTGTCACGTCAAAACCGGCTATACAAGTGGTCCTCGGAGGAATACTGTTACTAATAATAGTAACGGAAGAACGATGACACTTTCAAGCAAGAAAACTCTAAGGCCAACTTTCTTAACTGTGCAAAAGGCCTTTACCAGCAGCATACTCACTGTCCCACAACTCCATTTGAAGCAAATAAAAATTAGAAACTACGTGTGCTAACTTTTCGCTCACCCACTCAGGCCCGCAGAAGATACCAAAAGTACAGGTAAAAACGTCGTTGTTTAGGGCGACTGACATACGGGATGAAGAGCATTTGGGTGTATGATATTTGATAGGTGGGCATCACATGTCAGATGAAGCACCTAGTGACATAAAATGCTATGGCCTTGAAACAATGGTATGAAGGTGAAATATTTATTGCTCTTTTGCCAAAACGAACAGAATGCTCTGCGAATCCAAAGGGGTAAATTACATTTAAAACACTGAAGTATTTGCAAAAGATTCTCAGTTTTCACAGTGATTTGGTTTTAACGAGGGCCTTTGTTGAATCCACCTGGATCTCTCGTTTATGATGATGGTACGTCTAGACACCGTACTGGAATATCATACAAACTGGAGCATGAAGCGGCTTTCTGCAGCACATTCAAATCAAAGACCATTTAAAATGAGAAATTCAGTTGAGTTTCCAGTTCAAACCAAGAGGGATTACAAATGAGAGAATTTGTCGAATTTTGTTGAATTTGAGTTCAATTATGAACCCAGGAGTTCTGCCTACTTGCTGAACCTCAAGAAGGGAAGAATCGGTCCTGGATTGTCGAAGGGTTTTAAGGAAACTTATGAGTAGTTTTTATCGTCTAGGCATAATCTTTGTGTCCTCGGTTATCACACATTACCTCTCAATCATATCTTAATTTTAACTTCAGTATTATCCATACCTTGAATTTGGTCAATTGGACATAAACTGGTCTTATTCAATCTTACATCGGTGAGGAAGTTATTTTCTAAATTAATATCCAAGTGTTTCATTGAATCTCCTTAATTAAACACAGAACAGAAGGCGAATTAAGCCTCTGTATTGATATTGGAAATGACGGAAACCGTTAATATAGACTTCAAGAGAGTGACGAAAGAACATTTAGGAGATATTCATCTGCTTTGAGTTGGCTATCCCTTCATTGTGACAACATAGGGACTCGTAACGAATGCGTACAACGTATGCATACGCTACTGAGCCATACTTTACTTACAGTACTATATTCTAAGACACCTTGTCTTCGGCTCAGGCACCCCTCTGCTATTGAGGCAACATAACAATGCTTAGTGTCACTGAGTTCAAAAAATAATGTAACAGCGCACCATTTTTGTCTAAATTTGCAAGTGTCAGCCAATCTTGCGAGTCCAATGAGATCTGCAGTTTATTGCTAGCTTTCAGGGCATCAACGCTGTCGAAGCCTTCGTTGCGTGGATATCTTCTGTCACATTCTATAGTCAGTGAGATTTTACAGGGTTGTTCTGTCCGAAGCCTTCATGAGTTTGTACGAGCTATTCAACAGGTTTAGCTTGGCGTACTCCGTTTTACGGCAGACAATGATCCGCTTTCATGTATGAAAGAGGGGCACAATTCGCTAGATATACAAAATCCCTTCAAGGCGTTTATCTGTCGGAACGATACGCGTTGTTGCCAAACATTACACAACCTTACAAATTTTAATTGCTTTCGGTTTCGTCTCGTTTCGCCCACCCTATCATCCTTTGTATAGTGAATGAATCAAACATAAATCGGCTTTCATTGTGCCCTGAGGATTTCTTTGCGGCCGAGGTGGATGACCGGTTATTTCTGGTCTTTAGTGAAGCCCTCCGACAAGATCTGTGACACGCAAATGAACTCGTTGAGAAGACACATTCAACCTCACGATGACATAATCTGAAGATGGAAATCCCACTAGTTGGATGTAAGTTCGCCCAATAGTGTCATAGCAACAAAACCGCATTGCAGCTACGCATTGTCTTTAGAAATCAAAGACTGAACGCCATAGGTACATAGGCCCTGAACACACCAGGTGACCTCTTGTCTGCAAAAAGCGTTACCACATGAAGGCCAGACGGAAAGAAAAACTCACGCTGAACTCATCTTACCAAATCTAATTGCTCTTAGTGAGTTTGGAAAAAGTCAAGGTAAAATACTGTGTGTGTGATTTGTCTTGAGCAACTTACGAGCAAAGACAGAAGTTAAAATGTACGCGCAGTTTCCCACATTGATTCATCGAAACGTGGAAAACTCTAAAGAGTACAT